GGTGGATAGTTGTCTCTGACTTTGTATTGAATTATCAATGAGGTTGATGTTGTTTGTATTCCAATCCTATCTGCTACCTTTTCAATCAAGTCAGCAAAAGAGTTGTTTGTAGCCAAAGTAATTCCAAAAACACGGAAGTTTACATATTCCATGGCTTCATTCCAAACACCACCGTGATGAACAAAAATATGTATTGTTTCCATGTTTCCTGTTATTCACAACAAATATTATTCTATATTTAATAATCAATACATCTATAGAGTATTTTGATATCTAGAAACAAAGACTTATTGAACATTAACGATCAACGAGAATCATGATCAACATAGTAGTGCGATACGCAGAAACAAAGACTTATTTAACATCATCAATTTATCACAAACGCAACAAAATTACATTCCTAAATTCAAACTTATTGGAAACACTAAACGAAATATGAAATTGTAATTAACTGACCTCGATGATTGATCAAATTTTATCAAAACGATGCTTAGCTTGATTCACTGTAGAGTCTTCACAACTGATCAAAATTGTATTCTATCGATTAAATCTTCGTTTGGAAGATTGAGATCGATGTTTTGATGCGGTAGTCATCTGCAAATAGCTTCGATTGAACTTTAGGAGTAGGAAAGTAGTTCGCGAAAGATTTTCGCGCGCTGAAAAAGATAGTCATCGTCGATCGATATTGAGCTCTGGGTTTCTAATTTTGGTGATCAAGTTCTTGGTTTCTAATTTTGGTCATTTATATACTGGATATTTTTGAAAAAAAATCTTACGTAGCTTATTTTTTAAAACAGAATTTGTCCTTGACATAAATGATACGAAGTATTATTTTCCTCATTTGGCTTATTTGTGAAATTTTCCCATAAATATACTCCGTATATGTTTGCAATTTGATCCTAGAATCTATTGTCACAGAATCTATTTCTTAGGAGGATTTCCACTTAAAGATTCCTTCCGAGTGGAATCCTGAAAGCGAGCTGCTGCGTAAGCCTACGTAGTTGACTGGTTGCATCTTTTACTTTCTAGCTCAATTCAATTATACCATTGTTTATCTATGGCAAAGCCCCTTCAATAATCGTTATTTGAAATAATTTGTGTGAATAATATCCATTGGAGAAAATAAATACCCGTAATAATAATTTTATCTCATTAATCATGAACATCACAAAACGAGAGGCGCATCACTGTAGATTGTTTTAAACCTCGTTGTATTCAACAAGGGTGCTTTAGATTTCAGATTTGATTAATGATACTACATATTTAAGTGAGTTTTCTTAAAAAATGAATTCTTTTAATGGATTGTATTGTTAACACTCTAATTACTAACATGTGGTGTTCGAAAGGGCTTAATAATGCCTCCCGACGCTTACTAATTAAGGGGTGTTTGGAACTAATTCTGCATCTATTCTGGAACTAATTAGTTGTCAGAAATTGGTCTCCCCCAACTTCTAAAAAACTGATTCTAGAAGTAAATTAGAGCACAAAAATCACTTCTGCACTCTCACCCAAATACTCCAACTTCCGATTCTGCTTCCTGAATGAGCTGAAACAGTTTTCAGAATCAGATCCAAACACCCCTAACACATTTGATTTTTCATTACTTTTCTCCAAACAAGTGGTAACACAAATAATTTGTAACACTTTCCATGCCTTATCAACGCTTCATCCAAACAAAGCGTTAAGTCTATGTAATTCATATTCGCACAATCTTAATACTCCCTCCGTCCCAAATTATAAGATACTTTTCGGTTTAGGATGTTTGACCGACGATAAAACAAATGGATCCCTGTGTGCACTCAAATTAATTTTAGAAAAAAGAATTACATATTCAGAAACTACATTAAAACCGCTACAAAATCTGCAAAAAATAATTCAAATTTCATAAAATTTTGATATATAAAGTAAGAGATTAAGAGTGATTTGTGTTGACCAAGTGAATAGTAAAGACATCTTATAAAATGGGACAGAGGGAGTACAAATTAGGACAATCTTCACCGTAAATTGTAAAGCTTATTTCAAATTATAAATTTAGTAAAGTTGGGAATTTACTAAATTATAAAGGCTAAAGGGTCAAATAGGCCCTTGAACTGACTTAAAGTGTTCAATTAGCCCCTTATATAGGAGGTTCTGCCTGGCCGTCGCCAATTGGGGCGGTTCCCGGTGGAATTTTTTGATGAAATTTTTTGAGCATCTTCTTCATTAAGTCTAGTTTAATCATACCAAAGTTCAGCTAAAAATTCAACCGGAAAGGCAGTCAAATGATTTTTTGAAGATAACTGCGAAGTTAAACAACGCAGTACATTTCGAAAAATCATTTAACTCCCTTCCCGATTGAATTTTTAGCTGAAATTTGGTATGGGTAAACTAGACTTAATGAAGAAGATGCTCAAAATATTTCATCAAAAAATTTCACCGGGAACCGCCCCAATTAGCGACGGACGGGAAGAACCTCCTATATAAGGGGCTAATTGAACACTTTAAGTCAGTTCAAGGGCCTATTTGACCCTTTAGCCTTTTTTTAGCCAATTATAAATTAAGTTATTTTCACTTATTCATAGTTTCATACTTACAAAAAGTATCACTGCACCTATTGGGGATCTCTTCAATGTAATTGTATTCATGTGAACACCCAAAATTATAAAAAAAATAAGAATATATGGCTGAATTAGAGTAAGACTACGTAATTCATTTGAAAAACTGCCGGCAACATACCAAGCTGGTAGTGATAGTATGACTTTTCAATTTTATTACCATTTCCCCCACATTTTATCTATATGACCATATATAAAAATAGTCTTTTTTAAAATTTGACTTTCGTATTGTAATTCTCTTTTCTGTTATACTCATAAATTTATCATACTCCTTACTTTTTACTTGCGTTATCCATTTTTTTTAGTTTTTTAACAATAACCCAACTTTTATATATTCCTATACCAGAAAAAGTTGATTATGTTTTCAATATCGGACTCATCATTCACTTATACTCCGTATTAAAGAATATATTTATCCTATTGTAATTTAGGAAACTTACTTACGTGTTTTATCCTATTTTGAGCAACTTTTATTGTTTTGTAACAAATTCCTTTTGCATGGAGACATGGAGTTGTAGGATATTCTATTATTATGCAGTGGGAAATGTAATCGGAATGTGCGGACAATACATTATCTAGTGGATCGGAGTATCCAACCTTTTGACCTACAAAACCACCTTATTTATATGACTCAAAAAATTGAAATGTATTCTAGTCCATGAAATATGCCACCTTAAATTTCAGTGTCTAATAAAATGATTTATTTCCTTTTATCATCACAATCGAAATGTATTATGACCCATGTGGAGATTATTTTCACTTCAAAAAAATAATGTCAATTGCATAATCTATTGGAAACTCTTGAATTCATCAACTTATAGAGAGTTGAAATAACGTAGACAGAGCTGAAAGTAGTCTGAAACTCCTCCATGGAGTTTCGAACCTGAAACCCCCATACGACCATCAGTTGAGCGAGCTGGATTGATTCCTCAATTTCACTGGACTCATTCACATTTTAGTTTTTCTTTAAAGTAATGTAAAATTACTCATTCTCATGTTAACTTATTTACGAGAATGCACCACACAAGTTCAATCATTTGATCAATACTCGTAAACTATGTAGATTTATGGCTTCTTTTTATTTCAAACTATGATAAATATTGTGAATGATATACTTTTAGTGAAACCATCTAACATGTGATCGTGACTAATCGGTAGTGACTTCCAACCAGGGGCGGAGCCAAGGGGGGTCAGGGTGGTCAGCCGACCCCGCTGAAAGTTTGAGAGTATAGAGCTCTGAAATATCTTCGATTTGATATATTATGGCTCCCGTAACTCATTACGAGTAAAAAGTTATGACTTCTGCAAAATCAGGACTATCTAAATGTAAAATTAGCAAAATTTGATGCATATTATAGATTATTTTCACAAATTTTAAAATTAGGGTATAATTCAGTCAACACTTGCATGAATGACTCAGAAATAGAGCAAAGACAATCTATCATTTTGCTACGAATGTCTATTTATCTAAACTACATATGAAATATTCAAATTAGACATTGTTTAAAAACGATCTAACATTTTCATTCTGTATATAGGTTGAGTTTCGACCCCCTAAGCCATTTTTCTGGCTCCGCCCCTGCTTCCAACTACTTTTTGGTGAGTTTTCCAAAGACTTTTTGGAGAATGTTTTTTTAAAATTATTTCATCGATGATAGACGCGATCTTTTAGATAACTTTTATCTAAAACGTTTTCTAGTGAATTTTTTAAAACTTTTTCACCGAAAAAGTTCCAACCGCGATCGATGGCTAAGTCATGGTAAGAGTATGGCGGGGGAGGCTGTTTCGGTTGATATAGGAGATAGAAGAAATTTGAAATAAATTTATAGTTTTGAATATTTAAACAAAACTAATCATATTTTCATCTATCACAAAGTTGCTATTTTTTATTAAAGAATTGCACTCCAAATGAATCCAATATCACAAATAAACCAATTTAAAGTTCATACTTTTTAATTTCAAGTTTAAGTCATATATGAATTACATTTTTAAACTTAATTACCTCTGAAAATCTCAATCGGAATAGTAGCATTGTATGTTTTTTGCTCTTTATATTTGGCCTGGATGACTTATACCGCGAGAATGTACCACTAGATAAGTTATACTCCATAAAAAATGTGGAGTTTTGGTAGGTGTCTTATTCCTATATATTTGAATTTGCTTTAGCCTAAGGTCTATTTGAGTCTTTGTCAATCTTAATACTTTTTTAAGATGGCAAGATGAAAGATTTCTTACCAAAAGAGTCACGGGATCCAACTATTGAATGCATTTATTTTAGAGAAAAATAATTATATCATGTACAAGTGTTTTAATTAGGGGATATATTGTACACACTACTTGTTGCAGATTAAATATAAAGCCTATATATACACTCTTCTATAAATATATACCCCATTACTTCCATATTTGCTCCATTAATTGAGGAATCATATCGCAGCTCTAGCATTGCTTTAGAGGAATCGTCATCATGAATGCTTTAGCAGCAACCAATAGAAACTTTAAACTTGCAGCTCGTCTCCTAGGCTTGGACTCCAAACTTGAGAAGAGTTTGCTTATCCCATTTCGAGAAGTCAAGGTTTACTTTTGCTTCCCTCTCTCCCTCCATATATGTTTCTTTTTTACTTGTTGCTTGATTTGTTTGATTTTTTTTAGAGGAATTGATTTGTTTGATTTTGAACATAAAAAAATCAGGTTGAGTGTACAATACCAAAAGATGATGGCTCCTTGGTATCTTTTGTCGGATTCCGCGTTCAACATGATAATGCTAGAGGCCCCATGAAAGGTGGAATCAGATACCATCCTGAGGTAATTTTGATCATCACAATGATCTCTCCTTGTTGAGCAAACCCAAAATATTGCCGTGCGACCGGTTACATAGTGCTCCTTAGCTTGTTTTGTAGAGCCCATTTGAGATGACTTTTGCAGCATGTATAAAAGTGCTTTTTTAGAGAACTTGATGTTGCTTTTATTGATAAACAGAAACTATAACATTTGTTAGTTTGAGATCATCAAATTTTAGCTTTTATAAGGCTAAAAACACTTTCTCTACAAACTTTTGAAAAAAGGACAAGCATTTAGAAAAGCGTTTTTCAGTCATCCCAAACATGCACCAAATCGTTAGTTGATAAGCCGTTATTCTTTAAAAACCTTCATGACACACATATTTATTGTGTTTGTAGAATCTGTTGTTTTTCAGTCATGTTTTTTTGAAAATCCATTCTATTTTAATGTTAGTTAGGTCTGTGTTGCATGTCATGGCATCCATATTCTAGAGTTTACATGAATTGAATATTCTGATCAATTATAAGGGTTGTGAATACTGTAGGTTGATCATGATGAGGTGAATGCATTAGCACAACTGATGACATGGAAAACAGCAGTTGCAAACATACCATACGGTGGAGCCAAAGGAGGGATAGGGTGCAACCCTGGGGAGCTGAGCGTCTCTGAACTCGAGCGACTCACTCGCGTTTTTACTCAGAAAATTCATGATCTTATTGGAGTTCAAATTGACGTACCTGCGCCTGACATGGGAACCGGTCCCCAGACGATGGCTTGGATTCTTGACGAATACTCAAAGTTTCATGGCTACTCACCTGCTACCGTTACTGGAAAACCAATCGTAAGTGACTTAAGACACGAGATCTTATCCTAAAAAGTTAATCTAATTGACTACAGGGACATATTCATTTTATCATTGCGTTTTGACAAAAACAGGACCTGGGAGGATCTTTAGGCAGAGATGCAGCTACAGGAAGGGGGGTTCTGTTTGCAACAGAAGCTTTACTTAAAGAACATGGGAAGTGCATTGCGGGGCAGCGCTTCATTATACAGGTACACATCGGTAATGATGCTTCAATTTCAAGGATATCTCTGAAAAACTAAAGGTCTGTTTGCACCACGGAAAATTCTAAAAAGGAGGAAAAAAATATGTTGAAAAAAGTTACTTTTATGGTTGACTTTATACCGGAAAAGAAAATGAAATATGATTAATTTTTTGTTTCCATGTATTCGAATTTAAAATAATGACAACTATATGACTAAAAGAGTTATAGGCAAAAATATGACATTTACTACTCAGTAACCATGATGATACTATCATAGTGACTGTAGTAATCATGTTTATGGTGATGTTCTACTCTACTATTTGTAATGACCATGCAAGAAGTATTTTGAAATAGATAAAGTGACCATGTATACAAATTTTCCTCTGTTATTGGAAAAATGCCTTTAGATTTCTTTATGTTTGTATAGTGGAAACCATAGAATGAATTCAATCATATCTAAAATAAATTTAATGAGACTTTCCCACAAAACTTCTTTCCTTCCAGTTCTCTCTCCATTATATGCTCTCCCCTAGTATTGTCTAAGTTCCAAATGGACGGTAATGGAGTTCTGCTTTTCCTCACACAGGGATTTGGAAATGTTGGTTCGTGGGCTGCTCAGCTCATAAGTGAGGAAGGCGGAAAGGTTGTTGCGGTCAGTGATGTCACTGGAGCTATAAAGAATGAGAAAGGGTTAGACATTACTGCTCTGATGAACCATGTGAAAGAGAACCATGGTGTGAAAGGGTTTCATGGTGGGGATGCAGTGGATCCAAACTCTATACTGGTTGAAGACTGTGACGTTCTAATTCCAGCTGCTCTTGGAGGTGTCATTAACAGGTTGGTTATTGGCACAAGTAAAATAATATAGATATCATGGTTTGAACTTTGAACCAAATTTTGAAGCAACTCTCTTATGTTCCATTGTTTTTTGACTTTCTGATCTCAATGAAGGGAAAATGCAAAAGACATCAGAGCCAAATTTATTATTGAGGCTGCTAACCATCCGACTGATCCGGAAGCCGATGAGGTTAGTATAGGATTAAGGGGTTATCAACATTGGTTTAGAGGTCCCCACCCAGAAGCAAGGCTATAGGGGGTCAGTTCTGGATTCCGTTTTGGACTGCCCGAATCTGGGGTGGTGGAACCAGCTATTCCGGATCTGATTCTGATATGTTTCCTGCTCAATTGTTAACCTTAATGAAACGGTCCAGACCTGTTTAGAACCAGACCATAAAATACTCATTCACCAGTACCGGTTTGGTGGTTCCCGTTCGATTTTCAGTTAACCCCCTCCCCCCCTCCCCCCCCAAGGTTATGTTCTGATCATTTAACCCACTTATAGTCTTTTGGATGAATGATTTTGGAGCAGAAACTTTAGAAGACTCGATTGATATCTTTATATAACTTGAGATTATGAAGAAATTATAAATTAATGATGCCCCCTTCCAAGCCCATCCATCCAAATTGACCTAGATACTATGATTAATAAACTAGATGATATATTTCCAGCTAGGGGCTAGGCCATATATTTTACCTGAGTATTTGGTATTCTGCAGATTTTAGCAAAGAAAGGGGTTGTGATTTTGCCAGACATTTATGCGAACTCAGGTGGAGTTACTGTGAGCTATTTTGAGTGGGTTCAGGTGCTTAATTACCTTCACACCTAAACTTACATTTACTAATAGATTGCATGTCCTGAGTTCTTGATTCTGTTTAACCATTTGTGTAGAACATTCAAGGGTTTATGTGGGATGAGGAGAAAGTGAATGCAGAGCTTCACAAGTATATGACCAGAGGATTGAGAGGTGTGAAGGATATGTGCAGAACTCACAACTGTGATCTTCGTATGGGTGCATTTACACTAGGAGTTAGCCGAGTCGCCCGGGCTACGCTTCTTAGGGGATGGGAAGCCTGAGAAGGATTTGGATGCATCTTTTTTCTTTTCTTTTGGAATGTAACAGGCAGTAAACACCGTTTACTTTGCCATGCGGGCTTCTTCATCTTTATGCTTCCTAATGAATAACTGACTTTTACCATATCATTCCCTCAGACTATTTAAAATGGGGTCACACTTATTTAAGTGAGAATGATTAAAATGTTCTTTCATTTTCCAAGTTTGCATCCGAAATACTGCATATTAGGATCTCAAATACTGACATGGGGTAACAAATTCTCCAGAATCTCAATCATTTTAGATTATGTCAATTAAAAAAATCTGTAAAATATACTCCGTAAGTAATATACTAATCTCATTACATTTTCAAAACAAGGTTAAGAATGCAATTTTTCCTAACAAGAAGTTTCCGATATTTATACAAAAAATCCACCAATATTTCCATAAATTCAAGTGCTTCGGCTTCAATAATAACATATACCTATTAGTAGGGAAGGGGAAAATACCATGGAGTCTCCAAAGGCCTAATCCATTCCAGTTGCACTAGATTTAGGATAGGTATTAAGGACATATAAGAAAAATAACTAATCCATTACGTTTAGATTTCATAATGGCTACAAAATTCTATACGAAACCGAACCTCTGGCAGTCTCAACAACCAGCCTATTCATTTTAATGAGTAGCAGCAGGTAAGATCTTGCTTTAGGCCCTGCAATGATAAAACCATAAAAATCAACCACTTTATCTTCTAAATTTGGAGTTTTTCTTCCTATGGAAGTAACAAATAAACAAAGAAATTTCCCTAAATAGGAGTAAAAACGTTTTGGAATTCCAAAACAGGATCACTATGTTTTTATTTTCTAAATAAGTGTAATAACTGATATTCTTGAAAAATACTGCCAATTATTACAGTACAATGCCATATTTAAAGCATGGCAATGCAAAATATGGCAGTGAAAGATTGCAGTACGTTAAGGGAAAAAACATACTTCATAGTACTCTTAGGAATTTTACATTGTTTTTACAACTATTTCGGGAAATTTCCCAACAGAATATTAGGTATAGTACATGAAATGTCCACATTGACCCCATTTTACTATTAGAATGACTTTAGAACTTGTAGGATCATATGCGTTAAAACTCATTGAAAAGTGGAACAAACAATAGAATTGAATATTGAATTCATACCCAATCCTAAAGATTCAACTTCATCCATTTGAATGACACTTGGTTTAGTGTTTTTTCTTCTAAGACATGCATTCATCTTCTCAACAGCGACAATCAGGTCCTGTAAGATGGCATTAGCCATTAAGCATATTCTCTTGATTACAACCCTCCTAGGGAAGAATTTGTAATTATAAGACATAATAAAGGACATAACCCACTTCTTCCATAGGATTAATCATAAATAAGACCATTGGTTAACTGCTTCAACTAATGAATAATAAAAAATATAATACGATGTAAGCATTTACCTCCCATGATGCTAAACTCTTCATATTCTTAGGAAGAATCTCATAATCATCTAGTGACACACTTATCAAGGAAGTAGGGTCTTCAAATGTAATCGATGCATGGTCCATTACATCTAAGTTAGAACATTTGCACATCAATGTATATTCTATCACCAAGAGAACATCTTAACAGAAAGCAACTAGATTTAGACATCCGGAAAAATCCAACATTTTTATCAATGATTGAACAGATTCCTCATCATTAGCTGCAGATTATGATTCACAGGAGGACCAAACAAGGACCTAAGAGATTAATATCGTTTTTGTATAGTAAACATCTGATGAAAGTTTAATCTACTAACCTTCAGGTGCAAGAGCAGCTACACATGCATCCGAAAATCCAAGATTTTGTAAGCTCAGTGTATCGTCTAGTCTGACAAGGTCAAGGACCACTCACCAGTAATGTACTAATACATCATAGCTGAATAAATCTTTCAATACAAGATAAGATCATAAACAAGACAGCAACAAGTTAAATAATTGTCAAAATCACTTTTTGGTTTCATTTCAAGGACACAAAAACAAACCTCCAAAATTCATGGGGTGAGTTTTCAGGTTCAGCATAGGTTATGTTAAGTTTAATTCTGGGTTCACCTTGTCAGTTTGCAATTTATAGTAACAACCAAAAATTTCACAATATCTGGTTTTATCTCAGAGAACATCCAAAAACTCCACATAACCCAGTATTGAAGAACGCCCAACTTAAAATGTTTACTTCTAAGTAACTTTAATATGTTCACTTATCATAATTTCTATATTTCAAAATCCTTCACTGCATTAACTTAACTTTACCAAATACTACGTAAATAGCTAAACAACATTTATATATGTTTGGTACATCCAAATTCACCCCATTTTAAATAAAACTAAGCTTTCTTAAGTTCACAAAGTTTACTTAAATTAAATCTATCCAAATGGACCCTTAAGAAAGCTAAGGAACTTCAAAGTTCATTTAGCAAGGTAGATAACCCTTCAGAGCATAGACATTCTAGAGGAACGGAAAAGATACAAAGGGTCGTCTTCAATTTTCTTTGTGAAGCCAAGACTGCTGAAGTCATCTGATGGTCCTTCATTTTCCTCTTCTTCATCTTCATAGTCAGCATCAACTAATGCCCCCAAATAGGAGCAGATTTGAGAAACATATCATTAATATTCAGAAGTCATAAAATCAAAGCAATATACTTGCGTTGTATGCACTACTTACAAGAGGAGGTGTATCCCAGGGAGGGGAGGTGGTCCTGGAGAGACAGGAGTTGATTTTGGTTCTCCTTGTAGACTTCATTGCAGTGGCCAAGCAGCTCTTCAAACGACACCGTTCCCAAGGACATAGATTCCAACAAGTTGAGCTTGCTGCTGGCCGACGACACCCTCCAGTTCAGGCCTTGCACGAACGTCGTCGATGCAGAGTCTGATGCAAATATATATGCGGGCAATCATTTTCCAAAACAGAAAAGGTAACTTTATTAGGAAGAAGTCATACCTAGAGGGATGGGGCGGCGACCGACAGACTGGGTGAGGGCGTCGCAGCTCGTCTGTAGGTGGTTGCAGAAAGCGGCGGCGGTTTTGCTGAATTTCTCGATCGTTGCGTCCATTACTGACTCGGTGGTCACTCGGAGAGTTTGAAAATGAGGCGGACAGACACAGTATCATCTTACGCGTTTCAAGTAAGAAATCATTTGTGTCTTTATTTATATTGTGTTTCACATCGAAAAGCACCAACGAAGCGCCTGTAGCTCAGTGGATAGAGCGTCTGTTTCCTAAGCAGAAGGTCGTAGGTTCGACCCCTACCTGGCGCGATTAAATTTTGTATTTTTCCCTTATCTTTTGTGAGAGGAAACTTCTGGTGGTTTGCAATATTTCTACCTTGAACTTTGAGGATTTAGAACTATGTTAAATGAATACGGAGTACATCTTTAAACTTATTATTATACGAAGTACTAGTTTTCAATTTCCTAAATGCCCAAGTAATTTATCTTGTAAAAAACTTCAAAAAATATATAACCTTATTTCATATGACTACTTTTGCAATTGGATGTTAAAGTATAAAGGTAGAGGGAAATCTTTGAACTGTCAACCTTTCATTTTGTTAGTCCCTTGACTTCTAAAATTAGTTTTGATAGTATAAAAATCACTTTTACATATAGATGACAAAATAAAAATAAAAAGTCCATAACTCAGCATGCAAAGTAGGTCTTAATGGAGACCGGCTTGATCTTGATTGAGTAGAGTTTTCTAATAATATCACTCTTTATAAGCTATGTTATATGCCCTCCATCCCGATGTACTTTCCCAAGTATAAAGTAGGTGAGAAATAAGAATAGTAAAAACTGTGTGATTGATATTTGTGCAGAGGAGAGAGAAATGTGCAGAACCATAAATTAGTTATTTTAATGAAAAAATGACAAAGCTTTTTGGGACAATCAAAAAGGAAAATTTGGCAAAGTCAAATGTGATAGAGGGAGTATAACAATTAACTAATAGTGTAGTTTTAATATTATTATTATTGTGGAACTCTTTATGTAATTATAACTCTTTTGTCTATATATATATCTGCCAGGGCTACCATAAGGGTTAAGCCTGGTATTATTCTCACATGGTATCAAGAGCCAAAAATCCCTAATTTTTTTTCTCGTCTACGACATGTCTTCGGCGTCGATTTCCTCCATGGCCGTAGGTTTCGCGCAGCCATCTTCTTCTGCTGCCGCGATGCAGACCTCGCCCCAGGCCTCATCATCGTTGACTTCCTCCTCTCCAGCGCCGGCGACTTCTTCCTCCTGGACATCCCCTGCCTTCACCGCCGTGCAGCAGTCATCTTCCTCCTCTGGCCCGATTTTCAGCACCTCTGAAATTGGAGCTTGGGTGCCGCCTGTCTTTACCTGGACACCCACACCGCCACAACAGTCACTTCCTGCGTTTTCAGGCGCTCTTGGCGGATTTTCAGCAGAGTCCACTTCCCTGTTTGCTGGACAGAGCTTTGCGAGGCATCCAGGCCAGGCTCCCCTGTTTTCCGGTGGTCTTGGAGGTTCTTCAGCAGAATCTGCCTCATTGTTTGCTGGCCCGACATTCGCCAGAAATCCGGGCACGACTCCATTGGTTTTGCCCGGTCCTATTGCTCCACGAGCGGCTGCACCTCCCGGTCCAGGTTCTACATTGACTGATTTAGTTAAAAATATTGGTCTGTCTGCCCTTAATATTACCAATATTGTTACTACTAAATTGACTGTTGTGGAAGATTACCTGTCTTGGCGCACTCAATTTGAGTCTTTTCTGGTGTCCAATGGTTTTTTGGGTATTATTGATGGTTCGCTCACTGCTCCTCCCCCTTATATTTTTGATGCCTATCACCACGAAACCCTTAATCCGGATTATTGTAATTGGTTAAAAATTGATCAAACTGTCCGCTCTTGGTTATTTGCTACTTTGTCTCGTGATGTGTTAATAGAGGTGCGTGATTTAAAGAATGCTTCCGCTATTTGGGATCGTTTGGAATCCCATTTTATGTCTGCTAGCCTTGCTCGGTCCATGGAACTGAAACGGCAGTTGACTCAGTCTCGAAAGAGTCCTACTCAGTCCATGGATCACTATCTCAGGGACATCAAAATAATTGCTGATAATTTAGCTATGATTAATGATCCGGTTGCTCCCCGTGAACTTTTCAAGACAATCTTACTTGGTTTGGGCCGAGATTACGAGTCTCTTATTACCTCAGTTGGTCTTTTTCCGGAGAGCTTCACGTTTCAAAAGCTGCGCACATGTTTGATTGAAAAGGAACAAACTTTACAGTATATGCGGTCAATGGAAGAACCCCTTCAGGCTCAGGCCTTTGCTGGACAGGCCCAGGCAGCGGGACAACCTCCTCAGGCAGCCGGGCAGCCGCACAGGGGGCGAGGACAGCGCGGTCGAGGTGGCCGCGGACAGCGAGGACGCGGTGGCCGCGGGCAGCGTGGCCGCGGATATGGCCCACCTCATCCTGGTCACGGTTATGTACCATCATATGGCTATGCCGCACCACCATCAGGCTACTTTCCAGGGGGTGCGCCTCATGCTGGCATTCTTGGGGCTCCGGGATCGGCAGGTATGTCTGTTCGGTCAAATTTTTATACTTATGCTTTATCTGCTTCTTTTACTAATCGTGGCTATGCAGGCTCTTCCTCAGTTGAAGGGAACTCTGTCCCCCCTCCTATAGTCTGTCAAATTTGCTATGCTCCAGGTCACCCCGCATCTACATGTCCGTCTCGTTTTGTTCAGCCGGCTACACCTGCTCTTGCTGCTACAGCTCCTGAAGCTTCTGACATAGTGTGGTATCCTGACTCAGGTGCCTCGGCGCACATGACTCCTCATCCAGGTATTTTGACACATAAATCCTTTTCTCCCAACTCTCGTTCTATTATAGTAGCTAATGGTACAACTCTCCCTGTTATGCACACTGGTCAAGTCACTTTGAATTCCTCACCTCGACCCCTTCACTTGAAATCTGTTCTCCATGTTCCTAACATTCAATATAATCTTTTGTCCATTCAAAAATTGTGTGCTGATAATAATTGTACGGTAATTTTTGATAAAAATTGTTTTTCTGTAAAGGACATAACAACGGGGGCGGTTCTTCTTCGAGCATTCAGTGATAATGGAGTCTATCCCGTTCGCCAGCCGGCACCTCTACCTGTTGCTTTGTCTGCTGTTTCCCTTTCCATTTGGCATAATAGATTAGGACATTGTGGTACTCGTATTTTAGATCAGCTCCGTCTGAATAATTTAATTTCTGGCACTTCAGCTACTTTTACTGATTGTATTCCTTGTCGTTTAGGAAAATCACAACGGTTGCCCTTTAATAAAGTTTTTCACAATAGTCCTTGTGCTTTACATATAATTCATTCTGATGTTTGGCAATCTCCCGTTTTATCTCATCTTGGTTATAAATATTATGTCTGCTTTGTGGATGATTTTTCTCGTTTTACTTGGTTATATCCCATGCGGCGCAAGTCTGAGGTTATCACTCATTTTCAGCATTTTAAATTAATGACTGAAAATTTACTTGACCGCAAAATTAAGATTTTTCAGAGTGATGGAGGGGGTGAATTTGATAATTTTAATATGCGAAATTTTTTTGCTGATCATGGCATACTTTTTCATAAATCTTGTCCTGAAACTCCACAGCAAAATGGCGTGGCTGAACGCAAGCACCGTCATTTACTTGAACTGGCGCGTACTATGCTCATCACCGCTAATTTGCCAGCCACGTTTTGGGTTGATGCTATTCTTACTGCCACTTTTATAATTAATCGGCTACCCTCTCCTACTCTACATGGTTTGTCTCCGTTTGAAAAATTGTTTCATACTAAACCTGATTTATCTGGAATGCGTGTTTTTGGGTGTGCTTGTTTTCCTAATTTCAATGCCTCTTCGGCAAATAAATTGTCGCCCCGATCTGTTCAGTGTGTTTTCTTGGGATATGCGTCTGAATATAAAGGGTACCGTTGTTTTGATCCTATTTCTGGTAAGGTGTATATTAGTAGGAATGTCAGGTTTTTGGAGCATGTTTTTCCTTATTCTGTCTTAACCAGTACCACGATGCCTCCATCTACTTTGTCAATTCAGTCTGCCCCTTTAATCTCCACTCCTTTTAGAGATTTGCCCCCAGATCATGCCCATACTCCCTTTTCTTTAACCCTGCAGCCAAACCCATCTCCCAGCCATGTTTTGAGCATTGACCAGCCTCTGCCGTCCCCTGTACAATCTGCCCAGCACTCCCCACTAGGCTCTGGCAGCCCACCAACAACTCCAGCCACTCCAGACCATTCATCTGCAAGCAGCAGTAACCCAGACCTCTCATCCGTAAGCAACAGCAACCCCGAATCACCCCAATCTTTTGCCCAGACAGTTTCCCCACCGGCCAACAGCAGCTTCCCCACCATCCATGCTACTTCTTCCGCCCCGGTTACCAATGTTCACCCCATGCAAACCCGAGCTAAATCGGGAATTCTTAAACCCAAAACAATTTTTAATTTAAATACAGTTGTCAGCACACCCGACCCCACTTCTTTTTCTATTGCTAATAAACATCTTAAGTGGCGAGCAGCGATGGCTGAGGAATTTAATGCACTTATTTCTAATCGCACATGGGATTTAGTACCATTTGATGCTAGAAAAAATGTTGTTGGGTCTAAATGGATTTATAAGACAAAATACTTGGCTGATGGGTCTGTGGATCGCTACAAAGCACGGTTGGTTGCTCAGGGGTTTAATCAGCAGGCAGGTATTGATTTCACTGAAACTTTTAGTCCTGTTGTTAAACCTACTACTGTTCGTCTTGTTCTCACTTTAGCTGTGTCATTTGGGTGGTCTATACGCCAACTTGATGTTAAAAATGCTTTTCTTCATGGTCATTTAACTGAAGAAGTTTACATGCGTCAACCACCTGGTTTTGTCCACCCTCAGTTTCCCCATCATTTGTGTCGGCTTCGCAAAGCCATTTATGGTCTTAAACAGGCACCTCGTGCTTGGTTTCATCGTTTTAGTAGTTTCCTCCTTTCTCATGGCTTTGTATGCAGCCGGTCTGATAATTCTCTGTTTATTTTTCGGCGTCAATCTGATGTTATATACCTGTTGCTTTATGTTGATGACATTATTGTTACAGGTAATTCTTCTGCATTAGTTACTCATTTTTTGTCTCTTTTAG